CGTGATACAAATTGGTATCTATCCTCTTTCACTCTATGGTTCGAACTAAAGCAACAACAATGGTAACACAATTACTAGCAAGAGAGGATGTGTATAGACTACCGATAGTTGAATAGGGTCACCACTCGGAACAAGTATCCACTGCCTCGAATAAATGATCTTTTGACCAGTTGCAGAGTGCATCAATTTACATTTTGCTCTTGTACTGGGAGACCGATAATGGTCATCTATAGAACAAACTAATTTAGAAATCGGGCATGATTGTGAGTTGTAACTTGAAAACTGTGAATATGTGTTCCTTGTTGCCTGAATTAACTTTGAATGTGGAAATTGTATTTGCTTGGATGTGATGATATGATCATGTGCACAATAAGTGTGGGTCTAAATTTTGATATGTGCAATATGCTGGCTGAATTGATTGAAACTATGCAAGTTGTAACTCATGAGTATCGTAAAACTTGTTGTGAAAAAAGGTCATGACTAAGTTTGATGCAAGGGTCTAGATAATATACGAGGTGATTCGTAAGAAAGATCTAGATGTGTCTTGCGCTTGACTAATAACCATGTGAGTGTCTGGGTGTATCTTGGGAATGTGTGGGTTATGGTGTTGAATTAATGAGAATGAGTTGGTTTGTGTATCGTTGGATTGACTCGGAGTAGACAACGATTATCCGAGTTCAAAGGATTATCCTAAATTGCTCAGTAAAGCTGAAACCCGTTGGGGGATTTAGAAAAGAGAAAAACCCCAGAAAAATTTATTGCTTGGTACTGTTTCCTTCTGAGCCGCTGGGGAGGGATCTTTCAGCCAGCGCGAGGTCGCCAGAGCGGGACAGGGCGAGACAGAACCTCAGTCATGCCTCCTCTGTTTTTCCCAAGTCTCCTTATAGAAATCGAATCGAATCCGAACTAACCCCTGCAATCCAATCAGTGTTCAGCAATCGAGGATAGACTATAAAACCTCATAATAAATCGAATGCTGTCAAAAACAACAAAAAAACTGACATCCATGTGATAACAAAAACAAAAGGGGTGTCTGAAATTTTGTAAGTGTGAATTTTAGTTGACTTCAGTTGCCTTTTTGGGAAATATAGTTTCAAGGAAAGGGGTAATGGTAGATCCCCAAAGATTGAAGCAGTCAGGAATTGGGTCTGACTTAGTTCTGTGACTGAAATTAAGAGTTTTGTGGGGTTCGCTAGCTACTATCGTCGCTTGTGAAGGGATTAAGGACAAATTTGTAGATTCAAGTTTATGGGTGACATCATCAAGAAGTTTTGGTGAGGGACAGTTAGATAATAAACACTATTACTTTGGAAAATGCATTTAGTATTGTTGTCATAACATGTATGGGTTGTTTAGCGAATGATGAAATTAATTATGTCATTTGAGGTTAGAAGTTATACTACGATTTCATGGATTGTTTGTATATCAAGAAGAGGTCAAGATACAACTGCTCCAATAACAACGAGGTTTACTTGGTTAAGTTATTAAGCGTGTTACAATTGTGGAGAACCTCGGCATATGATGAGGAAATCAGTAAGGATGTGGAGGCCAGGGAAATGGTAATGCGGGTAGAGGAGTAGTGCATCCAGGCAAGGAGGTTTGCCCGTCAAGATGACAGGACTCAATTTTATGCCTTTTGGGAAAGACCGAGGCTGAAGGTCTGATGCAGTGATCACAATAACTATTATTATTTGTGACCAGATGGCTAGTGTGTTGTTTGATCTGGGTTCTACTTATTCTTATGTGTCCGTGCGATTTGCCTCTGAATTTGATATGAATTGTGATATACTTGATGCCCCTATCCATGTTTCTACTCTAGTTGAAGAGTCAGTCATAGTCACCCATGTATATCGTCTTGTCCTGTTGTGTTCAGTGATTTTCAGATTTTGGTTGATTTAGTTATGCTGGATATGACTGACTTGGTATAATCTTAGGTATGACTTGGTTGTCCCCCTATTATGTTATGCTTAATGGTAATGCTAAGTTAGTAACTCTAGAGATCCTGGGTAGGGAAAGGTTAGAGTGGGAAGGGGGTACAAGCCTAAGTCAGTTAAGGTCATATCTGTCGTGCGGGATAGAAAAATGGTGAGGCGGGATTGTTTGGCGTGATTGGCTCATATTCGGGATGTCGAGGTTGAATCCCTCTCTATTGAGTTTATTCCTGTGGTGTGAAAATTGAGAGAGCTTAAAGCTCAAATCCAGGAGCTTCTTGAGTAAGGTTTCATCCCTCTTAGTGCTTTCCCGTAGGGTATTCCGGTCTTGTTTGTTAAGATTTAAGAAGGTAGTATGAGTACTGTTGATTTTTATCTTCCGTCATAAAGGGGTGGATTAATACCGGGATGAAAAGCTTATGGATAAAGAAAGTCCCATTGAGTATACTCTGGTGAAGGCATTTGAAGTATTTTAGTAAGAAAGTGCGCATAAAAATTGGGTTAGTCCTTCGAATTTGATGGGTATACCTGAGTTTGAGGTGTCGTGTTGATGAAAAGTTTGACTTTGTAGTGATAGTCAGGGCTGACTGAGCATAAGGATAATAAGAGTTTGTGATGGAATGCAACTATATTATAAGATTGGTTGGCAACTATTGAAAAATTCATAAGAAAGGAGTGTACAGACATTAGCTCGAGTGTGATGATAAGTGCTTGGTTCTTGTTTTTGAGTTTAGTAATAAGTATGATTGAAATTTTAGCAAAGGATATTGTAAGATCGATGGGGATGCGATCAATGATAAGCGAATATCCATGAATTCATAAAAATCTTTAATGTACAAGCTAATGTTGATCGATAAGGGGATTGTGTTATACGGTTGAATTTACAATTCATATTTTTCATTTGTAAGTCTACATTCGTGGTGATATATTTTGTCAAGGTATGAAATTGCAAGGCGAGAAATGATCAATTGTATCAGGTATTGAGCATTTCAAAGGACTTACACTTGGGTTTAGTCGTAAAGTTGAGTATTATTGATTGTTAAGTACCTAAGAAATGTTTCATTTAAAAAGTGTTGGTTTATAATAAGGTAAATGGTCGGAGTGCTTATGATGGTTGTTAGTGTTGTGAGTATGATTCACTAGCTATGCTCTAGTGTGTTTTCACTCTTGTGGGTGGATCCCTAGTGGTGGATCAGGGGTACCAAATCCTACGATGTTCTCTTGGTTGAGTGGGAAGATTGGGAAGATTTGGTTATTTCGAATGACATAATTGGTGTTGTCTTGGAGTTGTTAAAGTATTTTAGTGTTTCGACATGTACCACTTGCTTATGAGAATTCATAGAAGAGCTACCATGTGTGATCATGGTTGTCCGACAATCTTAATATTCGTCTAGTCGTCGAGGTCATGTATTATTTGCGTGTGGATGAATGTGGGGATCATTGGGTCCAATTCTACTGTTCTTAAGGGTAATCTACAATCATAATTGCTAAATCTAGCATTCGATGGTATAAATAGAGGGTTGTATGCTTGGACATATCCCTTGATGAGTATCTGATGTCTAAAGATAAAATAATGTAATTTAAGCTCAAGGAAATTTATGTTGTAAGAAAGAGATATTGATAAGAACTATGATTGGTTGAGTATTATGAGTGTGTGTTGGTTGGTTCAGGTCCACCTCTAATTGTAGCGAGTATTGATTTAGAATTGTATCATGCTTATGTGAGAAAGGATTAGTCCTGATGATTGTGTCAAGGACCTTGATAACATGTGGCAGACGTGAGTACGATCAACTTTAGTGGTTATTGAGAAAAACGTTTGTTGTAGTTAAGTTTACATAGAACAATAATTATCACTCGAGTATTGTGATGACTTCATTGAGGTATTGTATGGGAGGATGTGTAGATCACCCATAGGGTGGTTTGGGGCTGAAGAAGTAAAACCTTTGGGAGTTGATTTGGTCAAGGATGATTAGGACAAGGTGAGAAGTATCCAAGCTAAGCTTCTAGCAACCCAGAGTCGATAGAGAAAGTATGCATGATAAGTATCCCCAATGGTTCAATGATTCAAATATTACTATACTCTTACTTTATCCAGTCTTTCCTAGTTGATCACTCGAGGACGAGTGATGGGTAAATTGGTATCTATTGTAACGACCTGATTTCGTCGTTACGGAAAAGCCAATGGGGAAAGAATTGGACCAGAAAAACTTTTGAGTAGTAACTTGAAATTTCCTAGCCTAGTCCAGATTTTGACGAAATCAGAGTCAAGCTAATCTAGGGATATCTCGTAATGAATGAGAAGTGTAATAATGAAATTGATTGCGTGAGTGGATAGCTAGAAGTTAAGGAACCGGTACGACTTTACAGAATTGAATTCGGGCAAGAAGAACTCCCGAAATTGATCTTAGCGTGAAAGAGTGTTTTCTAAGTGTCGTGGGATGAAGGTGTGTTGTGAAATGGGGGTTTGGAGCTCTTAATTCTACATTTTTTTTCGTGCAAGCCACTGTGGCGGGATTATTCCCGCCAGGGCGGGGCCGCTGTGATGGGCTGGGGTCGCCATAGCGGGACAATCGCGATTTAAGTCAGAAATAAACCCCAAAATCGTTTTATTCTACAAGTTTTGACTTTGAGAGCTAGGAGACGACCCCAGGTGCTTTCTTGACAGTTTTCCACCATTCTTGAGGCTAAAGGTAAGATTTGAACTCCCCGAATCCATTTTTTGATCTGTAGATTGTAAATTCGTGGGTGATTATCAATGGGAGAGGGTTTTGATCTGGAAATTATGGTTGAAAAAGCCCTAATCTAGGTATTAGGATCTTGGATTGGTCTAGGGTTATTGGGTTTGTTATAATTCGGATAATTAGACATTTAATTGTTGATCTTTGCGTATATTAATTATTTGTAGACCTAGAACAAACGGAAAGAATTCGGAAAGGAAAGATTCAAGTGCCTTGGGGATTTAAGCTTGGATTCGAGGTAGGTGTTGGTTGTGATTTCATGTTGGTGTGATATATGTTTGTACTTGCTTCATTATAGTGCATGTATGTATGTGAATGTTGCATTATTGATCACCCTAATCGTAAATGAGGATAATTGAATAATTATATGCCATGAATCACTTCTTGTTGTATGATTGTGAGAATATACATTGTGATTGTGATTGTGGTTTGTTGAATGGATCAGGTGTTACGTTCCGACCCACTAACTTGGATCGGTTGCCACTTTCGGCATAAATATGGGATCGGTTGCCATGTTCCGGCATAAACATTGGATCGGTTGCCACATTTTGGCATTAATATTGCATCAGTTTCCACGTTTCGGCATAAATATTGGATCGGGTAACACGAACCGGTACACTAACAATTTGGGTTTGGGTTCCATGAAAGAACCACTGAATTGGGTTCCGTGTGAGGATTATTAAATTGTGTTGTGTATCTACTTGTGTTGATTACGTTCATATCTAATGGTGATTGAGGTTGAAAGATTGTTTGTTGTTCTAAAATGATAACCAATGTGTATTACTAAGAACATGGAATGCTACATTGATCTTGAAAATATGACTAATATTGTATATGTTTGGTATATGTCTGTTTTATAATGTTGTGGTTACTTGCATGTGTTTCACTTATTGGGATAGCTGTGTGATCCTACCAGTACACTGTGGTTGTGTACTGATAATGCACTTGTTTGTTCTTTGTTGAGTACAGGGTATCTTCAGGCGGCTATTGATAGACCTCATCTAGGTGACTATTGAGCATGACCGGATTCAATGGTGAGCCAGTTCTTTCAGGCTGCCATGGATCTTTCTTGTTTAAGTCCACTCTCTTCGGACTCATACTATTTGTTAAAGGTGTTTGTTTAGTTTCGGGGTTGTACCTCTTGTTCTTAGACTTGTCGTTCGTAGAGTTTTGGTACAATGACTTTCAGGTTCTAGGGGTTGAATTTCCACATTAGTTTGGTTAGTTAATTGTTTAAACCTTTGGAACTTATGGGGACTCCATTTTTATTGTCATTCAACATGCTTCCGTATCTTTAAATGCCTTAGTTTTTAGTTAAGTTGTTAGTTGAGTTGTAGTAATGGTTCTCCCACCGGAGGGTTAGTGTGGGTGCCAATCACGATGGTCTGGGTCATGACAGGGGCGCCAAATCTATGGGCTATAACACACAAAATAAAGGAATTTGGGTAATTCCTAAAAAAAGCCTGTAAATGTGGGAACTGGCTGTCACGACTCGAGCCTACACCCTGGACGTGGCCGGCACTCGAGAACCATTGTTGGTCCCCAAGCGAACCTTCATCCTGGCTGACTTCAAGCGGAAGACTAACTTAAGTATACAAAGCTTAAAACAGAATAAAATTCATAAAACTTACAAATCTTTAACTCAAATGAATAACTCTGAATAAAAATAGAATATTCGACTAGCCAACCTTAGGCAACTCAAGTCTTTAATACATTTAGTAAGATAAATGAAACAGACTTCTCAAACTCTATTATCTATCTATGAAGCCTCTAACTGACAAAGATGAAAGTCGGGACAAGACCCACGACATCCAAACAACTGATATAACTGAAAAGTAAATGAAATCCTCCGGAAGCAAAGAGGCTCACCATAGCTAACTCGAACTCCATGTAGTATCAACGAAGTTCCTGTTGATGATCGTGAATACCTGAATCTGCATCATGAAAGGATGCAGTCCAAATGGCTCAGTACATGAAATGTACGAGAATGTAAAGGGAATTCTAAAGCATAACATAAGCTTGAAACTTGATAAAAAAAAAGGGAAACATACTTACCTCTTCTCAAAACTTACTCAACTCAAGGAATACTCAAGGATACTCAAAACTACTCAAACTTACTCAACTCAGAAGTACTCAAGGATAAGATACTCAACTCAACAATAAGGTTCTAAACTTAGTGAAATAGGGCTCAACTCAACAATAAGGTACTCGACTCAATAAAGCACAGTTCAACTTAAGATACTCAACTCGAAGGTACTCAACTCAAGATACTCAACTCATGATACTCAAGGATAAAGCAATAGTAAAAGATGCAATATAAATGGAAAGTTGTAAAACTGTAGATAGCAACTAAATGTATTGAAAAATACAATAATATTCAATGTGTATATAAAAATACAATATAACTCTGTGGGAGTTCTCTAACTGACAACCACCACTATGAGCCTAAGTGATGATACAACTTCTTTTCCACGCTGCCAGAACTGTCCTATACTTTGTCGTCGTATAGAACGCCTTAACTAAGTGGATCCACTAGTTTATGCTAAAAAGCACTAAGGAGTCATCTAAAAAGTATGATCCTTTCTACCCATAACGGCTACATGGTTTATGGAGACGTGAGTTATCTGAACCTAAACTCGTCCCCATATCGGTGTTCGATACTACTCCCAAAATACTCAGCTCATATGTTTAAAAACATAACTCTTTCTGTGGTTTAAGATTATTACTCAAAAAATTTCTCTAAAAAGAGATGTTACTCAAACTGCTCAAAACTCTTTTGGAAATCTCAGTTTCCTCCTCTTTTAAATGTGAAAATATTTACTCTTGGGAATACTTAGTTTTCATATATTATTTTAAGAAATGAACTTTACTCTTACTCTTTACTCAACTCAAAGCTTAAGTCTTAAAACAAAGTTAAAACGTTTGTAAAAGACTATTTAAAATATGGTTCATTCCGAATTATGGACGTGAACGACTCAATGCAAGGTTTTCAATAACCATAGATAGAACTCAATACTTGGAACTCAAGAACTTCAATGATACTACTCATTTCAAGAATGCTCAACTCAGAGGGTTCATGCGGAATTATGAGCATGAACTACTCAACCCAAGGACTCAAAGATACTTTTCATCTCAAGATTGTTCGACTTATAGGGTTCATGCGGAATTATGAGCATGAACTACTCAACCCAAGGACTCAAAGATACTTTTCATCTCAAGATTGTTCGACTTATAGGGTTCATGCAGAATTATGGGCATGAACAATTCAACTCAAGGACTTCATGGGTAACATGTAATAGTCCCGTGATTAGAAATATAATCTCAAAGGGGATTAGGAACTCGATACTCAAGACTTAAAAGTTTAAGATACTACTCCTCCCAAAGATACTCAATTAATAGAGTTCATGCAGAATTTATGAGCATGAACGACTCGACTTAAGGGTCTAAAGAAAATTATGGAACTCAAGTATACGACTCTTCTCATTCTCATACTTACTTCTTCAATACTAAACTCAAATCGATGATGGATCTCAAAGGATTCACAATTGAACTCAAAGGATTCCTTGAACTTTACACTTAACTCTCTCTTGAATGTGAATTATGAATTCAAGAGTTATGGTTCATGATATGAAGGATATCATGATGACAAAATAGACTCATGAATGCATTCTCCTCACTCTCATACTCACTTGCTCGAGTCTTGAAACAAGTTATTAGAAATTGTAGGAGACTCCTCAAAAAGACTCAAAGGGACTTTCTCAAAAATGTTTGAAAGAACTCTCACCTCTACCTTGAATTTAATTTATGAATTCAAGGTTGTGATTTGTGATCGGAAAGATCTTGGGATGTTTAAGAGTGTTTTTAGATAGTTAAACATGAGAAAGGGTTGAAAAACACTGTCTGAGGAGCAAGTCTATAACGCGGAGATGAATTAAAATGTTTGGTCGAAATAATTTTTGAAACATTGGAGTCCGCGACCTCTCCGCGATGCTGAGAGAAAATTTTCACATCGAAGGAACATGTCCGCGTCGCGGACTTGCTACTTGTTCCTTTTCCGACTTTTTCTTCCTAGTTTTCTAAACCCAATTTGCCTAAATTCGATCCTTTTTCTCAATTTCTCTTTAGATTCAGATACCCAATACATGTACCCAAGAATCTAATCAAACACAACTGTAAAATCAACTCGATTTCCTCAAGAACTCATCAATTTCATCTTAACTCAAAAACGAAAGCCAATTGCAAGAACACAATTCAAGAACATTAAACCTTCATCTTTCTAGAATGAATTTAACGCGCTGAAATTAACATGATTGGCGTGTGGGTGAACAAACCCAACACTATGGAAGATTACATACCTCTTAGGGATCAAACCCATGGCAAAAATCCACAAGAGAACGCAAGACTCTCGATGAACGATTTGATCCTCTCCTCTTTTCTCCTTTTTTCTCTTCATTTCTCTTTTTTTGTCTTCTTAAACTCTCAACAAAAACTCTAGGCGTATATTAGGATTATAAAAACTGAACCTAATCAGACTAGACCCCTAAAACCTTACTAAAAACGAATTAAATCTGTTTGGGTAAGAAAAAAACCAAAATACCCCTTCATATTTTCAGGTAACTTTCCTTATTTGGACAGTCTGACTTCAAAAGGGCATATCTCACTCATCTGAACTTGAAACTTAGAAAATTCGGTGGCGATGTAAATAGGACTCGAAGGGCTTTAATTTAATATCTTATGGGTCTCTTAAATCATCCTTGGTCATTTGAAATTGACCTAATAGGAATGACTTGAATGAACTTTATGTAGTTCTTCTTGGAACTCAAGGTGCTACATCTAGTGACATTAACACTAAATAAATTTTTAATTCATGGGTAAAATCTCACTCACTACGAAGAACGGTTCGAGTCTTAGCTTAAAAAAAATTCCAAGGAATTACATTGGTGTGAAAAAATGGCGTGAGTATACGTGGTGATTCCCCAACTCATTACGGAGATCCTCATTATGTTTTTCGAGAAAAAATGTTGGGTGCTCTGGACCACCAAATCCACGAGCTATAACACATGAAAAAAAGAGAAATTTGGGTAATTCCTAAAAATGACCTATAAATGTGGAAATGGCCGTGAAAAAAATTGTGTGAGAATATGTGATGGTTCTCCAACTCATTACGGAGGTCCTCATAAAGTTTTTTGAGAAAAAAATCGGGTGTTCTAAGCTGCCAGATCCAAGGGCTATAACACACAAAAATATAGAGGAATTTGGGTACTTCCTAAAAAAGGGCTTGTATATCCGAAAATGGGCATGAAAAAAATGGTATGAGTATACGAGGTGGTTTCCC